CAACATGGTCGATTTTGGTGGTAGTTTTTTTTATTAGGTTCCCCAAAACTCCACCATGACACGCCGCGCTTACACCAGCAGGCTTTCCTTGCCCCAATGGCACGGACTCACGCAAACGCACTTGCCACCGAGGTCATGCAACACCGCATGGCACAGCGACATCACCTTTCGAAAGCTTTAGCTGTTAGTCTACTGAAGAATCACTATTCTAATGAAGGTTTTTGTAGGGGAAAAGGAAGACCCTTCGATCTGGCGGTTTTTTGCATTTTTGATACGAGTTTAATAAAGGATTTTATATAAAATTTGCCTGGATTACTTTTTGGTTTTGAAACTCTTTCCAGGTGACCCTATTTTGGGCTCCCCCGATTTCAGGGACCCCCTATTAGAAAAAAACCTCGGATGCGACCGAGGTTTTTTTAATAGGGGGGGGCCCGTGTTTATTATTAGGGGGACCGGATTAGCTAGGAGCTTACTTCTTCCTTGCGTAATTAATAGGTGACGGTGTCTACTTAATTAAGAGCGGGCTTTTAACATATATTAATTTGTGAACGCATTTGAGACTTGAAGGAGCGATGAGAAAGAGGATGCATCTCTGTGCCATCTCAAAACATGCACTTGAAATTGAGGCTGCGACAAATGAGCCCCGAAAGGATGATGAGAAGGCCAAAGACAACAAGCATTTGCCTTTTCCCGACTGACCTAGGGCCAAACAGTCAAAAATGTGCTCAAACACAGTTAGGCTTGTACATAATGCATCTGTGTGTGGCATTTCCTTTGTCAGCCGCATCCGTGATGCATGTAAACATTAGGCTTGTACATAATGCATCTGTGTGTGGCATTTCCTTTGTCAGCCGCATCCGTGATGCATGTAAACAGAAAGCTACATTGCGTTGCGGTCTGCAGCTAAGGCGTTCACTCTTTGTGATATGTCACATCTTGACTGAAGATGCGCCAAATGATGATGCCACCAACCTGGCAGTCCCCCAACTTCTGATCGTGCCCACTAATTAGGTTTCTTTTTGACTTTTCCCCTGCGCAAGTGGTTTGTGCTAAGATTTGCTACTGGTAGTTGAAGCACAGGTTGGCACTACTCATGAATATTCATGCGCAAGCGCACACAAGATTTCTAATGTGCAGTACCTTCTAAGAGCCCCGCAACGATGAAGAGGAATCCAAAGTACAATGAGAAGAAGCTGCTGATGCTGATCTCCACCTTTCGTCTCATCCATGTCTAATATCAGCAGAAAGGATCAAGCAGCTTCTCATAGACTTCAACTTGAACTTGACCCTGCTTGTCCTTGTCAATCTACGTCAGACTGACTATCCAGCCGAATTGATCAAATCCTCAATTAAGGGTGTGGCGAACTCCAGGTGCGGCGCCGTGTGTGGCGCTGTGTGGCAGCGTCGCCTAGGGCTCCGGACCAAGGTGCAATTCACGATGAGGGAGATGATGATGCCAAGCAGCACCTGGGTTGAACCATGGTCGGCCTCTTGAGATGTGAAACAATGGATGAAACAGGTCTTTTTCTGTAGGGCACTCCTGTTTTGTGGCAACACAACAGTCGTGTCGCCCAACCAATGGGCTTGAGTCGAGTTTTCCTTTTACCAACACACACGCGCACACACGCACACCGGAAGTTCGTAGGTGTCACCTGGGTCTGGTGAAAAAACATGATCCCCTGAAACGATGCTGGGAACCAGTCTTCACGGACCAACCTGTGAATATTTGAGCACATGACGAGCCTTACTGCCTCAACTCGTTCCCGTCCGTTTTGAAGAAAAATGAGACACACATATATAAATACCTACAACCTCCAGTGTAACAATAATTTTTGTACCGTGGGATTTTTGCTCGAGAGACTGTTCTCCACACCCTCCAACCAAAAAACGCTCGACTTGTCAAGAAACGCTCGGCCTGTCAAAAAACGCTCGAGGTGTATTACAGCTAGTATGTCAGAATACCATCATATCCCATCCACACACGGCAGGGTTACACACAGACACAAAACACAATGCCCTTTCTCCATCAGCACTGAAGCTTCCACTGCCGGGGCCCTAGCCCGCTCAAGGCCAAACACTTGCCTGCTCCCATCAACCAAGAAGACCTTTTAGAGACCCGGTGTGTAGGGTGATGAGAAAACCATGTTCAGAAGTTCAGTTTTTGGCCAAACATGCGCCGGTATTTCATCAGCGTCCTAGCCTCCTGACAACCTGGAGGCCACCAGCTCGGATTCTCCGGGCCAGTCGTGATATGCGCCCAATGTAATCTTCATCGGACCAAACAGCATAGATCACGGGGTTGGCAATCCAGCTGGCCCTGGGATTGCCAAGCTGCTTTTCCACATCTCTCCTGGGCGTTTTTCTCATTTACACCACAGGAACTCTTTGTGCTTCCAGCTTTAACACATTGCAGTCAAGTGTCACTATGTGAGGAAGTAGATGGACCTGAAGGCCCCACAAAAGGCTGTTATGTTTACTCAAACAGGCCTTCTTTCTCCAACCAATATCTTTGTGCAGACTAGCTTCCTTGGGTCTGATCCGGTAGTATCTCCAGCCACGGGAAGCACACAAAGAGGCCAAAGCAGTGTAGCCCTCCTTAAGTTTTCAAGGGGTGCCCTTCTTCATATTGCATAAACCTATAGCTGTGATTGTAGGCCCACATATTGGAACTAAGCATCCCCTAGTGCAAACCCTGCTCGAACTACTGCTTCGGCAGACGCTCGGGGCATCCAGACCCCTTCATTGTAGATGGTACGAAGGAAAACATCGGCTGCCGAGAAAGTCCACCGCAGGAGCTGAAGCAAATCTTGGTGCTCAGAAGCCTCAATCAATTCAATTGAGATTGGCCCAGAGTCCAGAGATACTATATTTTCCCAACTCAGAAACCCCAAATTGACAGGTATGCTATAGTATACTTCTTCACCTAGGCACTTCACTCTCCAAGCAATGCTGTTCCAACTCAAAGTGGAGCCACTTGCAAAGCAGGGCTGTATCATATGCTTTACCACATCCACGGGGAAATTGGTTAGGCCTCAGATTCCACACAGATTCCCCAAAAGAGATTGGGCCAGGAACATATCGACCCCCATGCAGCTCTATATAACCCCATGCGTTTTTGGGTTGGAGGTCATAGGTATAGCTACGGCACTGGATGACCTTGAACTTTGTTTTCTCAAACGACATGATGGATGTTGTCGAGCGATTGTCCACACACCAGCTGTGAAATTTCCCATAAGCATCATCCAGACATGCCTGAAGCGATCGTCCCTGGAAGATCACACGGACCTTGTTGCTAAGCATGAGGATTGTTGACGCACACATGTCTCCTCCAACCCCCAAATTCCACACATGTAGAAGATCGGGCTGAATGCGGTCAGGATTGTCACAACCAGGTATTGACCTAAGAGGCGACCATTTCTGCTTGAACGGACAAGGTGATGGCCCGCTCCAGCTTCGAGCTTGTCCATTCGCAGACACATCCCACCACTCCTGGCCGGGAACCTAAGGAGCCTGGGGAAGAGCTGGTTCAGATCTATTGCCCCAAAAACATTGCAAACAATTGAGAATACGAAAACAAAACTGCAGAGGTCTCCTACTATCCCCAAAAAAGTATGCATATATCTCAGGGCTCCTCTGATGGGCACAAGTGGCACACCCTTTTGCTCCGGTATCCAGAGCTCAGGTGGCACGCTTTGCGAACAAATGGCCAGTCACCTTTGATGGCAACAATGACGGGGAAAAACTTGACCTCCTGTTGTCCCCCAACCTGGGAAGGCAAGCAGGTGAGCTGCACGGATTGACTGTGACAAGCATTTGTTCAATCAAGGGGCATTCACTACAATCCCCGAGTTGAAGCCCTCGCGAAGATCTGTAGCCAATGCTCCCAAAAGGAAATCAAGCGTCTCCTCTTTCTGTGAATACCACGACGATGGAATCAGTGAGTATAGGAGGCGGGTCAAATAGGAATGCCTCACTTGCGACATCCAGCTGGGACTTTCTTTGACTTTAAGGCAGCCCCCCTTACTATACACACAAAAATGTATAGATCAATGCCCAAGTTGCTGTGCTTGAGACAAGTCATTCTCTCCAGTGCTGGGAATTATGGTTTGGATTGAGAGGACCATCAGAGGGGTTTTAGCTAAACCCCTCCCCTCATCTCCATGTAGGGCAAGAGGAATGCAGTGCCCAAGGTCACACGAAGGTTTTTGGTATACTTCATGTTGGCCATCCACATTGCGGTAGTTGCTCCAAAAGGACTCGAACATCCTGCGGTACTTGTCAATCTCTCCTGGTCCATAGCCCCCCAGAAAATATCTAGGGAAGAGGTTCATGATTGTCACCAGCCATGAGGAAAAAAAGGACCACTGGATGATCCACCCAGCAGTGTTCCACTTTCTTGGCACCGTGAGTCTTGGTGCGCTTCCGCAGTCGAATAGGAACACGTGTGGTGGACACCTCCACTGGCAACAATCTTTTGTCGCGGTGGATCCATCTATGTAAATCCCTGGCAGCGTTGGAACCCCGCCGCTTCCCAGTCCGGGACCTCCCAAAGCGCGCCAGCTTCTCCACATTCTGATCCACAACACCTGCGACCAAACAAGTCCATAGGTTTTCAAATTTGCAAAAAGAAAAAGAATTCCATCACACATTCCAAAAGTTTCAGGACCTTATGATGCACAAATGATGGGACAGCTTGACAGGCCTAAATGTCTCATTCTTTTTGAAGCTCTGCTGGCCAAATGTATGGCTCTTTTCGCTGTAATAGCCTCAGGCTCAATGATCAAGACATCTCCCCAAGAAATAGCCCCAGCAGTAACACTTTGTACTACACTTTGTATATGGTCAAGTGGCCCCCTCTTCGATGTCTTCCAGAAAGGCATCCAGCATGTCAGAAGATGAATCATCACCACCTGAGAAAGTGATGGCAGTGAAAGGCACTGTTTGTGTGCTGTGTTATTTCTTGGCACCTGTCACTGCTCAGGCAGAGACCATTGGCATGGCAATCATTGTCATGGTCCTCGTGGAAGGCCAGACCTGCGCAGCACAGAAAAAACACAACCTGTCAGTTTGCACATACTTAGGAAAGCATAAATGCAAATGACCCAAATTGTTTTTCACCCAGGGATAGCGGTCATCACCACTGGATTAATTTCGCAATGGTGCAAATGGAGCCTCCAATCAAACAGCTTATCAACAGGTGAGGGAACCTTCAAAAATGCATGCATGCATTTTGTTGAGAGCAGCTTGCACAATGGGCTCCCTACTATTGATCATGAAAAACCCCAAAGATTCACTTGCCAGTTTTGGCTTTCTTCTTGGTCTTGGACCGAGAGCTCTCTTCGGGTTCATCCTTTGACTTTACACCAGCAGGCTTGTTCGACTTTGTCTTGGCGGCAGGCACGCGTCCCGAGGTGGATGGAGTCGGTGCTTTGATGTTCCTAGACACAAACATGCATGCAAGACACCAGTCTCATCATGTTTACCAAAGGTTCCCATCTCTCAACTAAACTATAACTAAACCATGAATCTTGGCACGGGTGATGTAATTGTTCAGGGTGACATCATCTTTCGTGCATTTCGTGAAGAGGTCAACCACAGCTGCCTTCAAGGCATCACAGTTCCTCAGATACAATTGTCATGACAGATTTAAATAGACAGAGGGAGTGAAGGGAGGTTGACAGGACAAAAAAAATCCAATGTGTCCTGTCAACTGGTGGCTTGCGAGGCAAGAGGCTGTGAAGGGTCAGTGGACATGAACTCAGCCTGCTTCAAGTTCAGTTCCTTGAAGTAGGTATTCATCCGTCCCAGGATGACCCCAATTTCATCAGCCATCCTAGGCAAGTCTCTTGTAAATTTTGCCATTGGACACATTGGAAGTAAATCTAGAGACATGCATTCAAGAGACTCCTTAGCTCGAGGAATCCTTCGCTCCACAAGCTTCTCCTGGATTCAAGCTTGTAATGTGTTTTGAACGATTGCATGTGTTTCTGTCCTGGGCAGTCGTAGCAGAATCCACCTTCTTTCCCAGTACAGAGAGCCACTGTGGAAGAATTGAAAAAGGGGTGTCATTCTTCTGAAGTGCCGGGAAGACCAGCCTGAGATCTATTCAGTCACGATTTAGGAATTATATATGCATGAATATGTATACGCAGTCTAGCTACTTCTTGTTGGCACTCGAGGCTGCTGCAGCTGCAGCGGCCTTGGCCTTCCGGACCTCCTCAGCAGCTTCAGATGCTGCATCAGCACCTGCCAGGCCCTCATCATCGAAGGCGTCAAACAAAGCACCACCGGTGTCCTGCAAAAGAATAGATATACAGGAAGCCTGACTTGATCCCTCCAACTATGGTTGATTGAAAGCTGTTGCATTATGGGTTCAACATGGGTCCTCAACCTGCACAGAAGCTTCACCCCGCTGCTCGGTTCCACGTTCATTCCGTCCGTCAAACCAATCTTCTAATACCAATCGTGCTTCCTCTTCCCCATGAACAGCATTTTTGCGGACAAGACCCCTAGCCGTAGCCCATGCCCAGCTGTTGTCAATCATTGGCCTTAGATGTTTGAACCCTGGTCACAATTCTCTGAGTTCGTGCAATTCAAATTTCAAATTGGGGTCAGCAGCAAATTGGAACTCTGGGGGGGTCAGATGCCAAAACGCATCCATGGTTCTTTGTGTACTTCTCAGTTTCTGCCAAGTAGGACTTTGTTACCCACTTACCTCGCCTTCCATCGCTTTCCGTTTGCCTTGCCCATTTGGAAACAACCATCTCCATAATCTTGAAGCTGTCATGCTTTTGAAGAACTTCCTTGAGTTTCTGCTGGCCAGCAGATGTCCCCCAGAGCTTCAAGGTTTCGGGCGAGGCCTTGATCTCCCCCTTCTTGTTGGCACACGCGCAGTAGCGACGAAGCCTTGGTGCTGTCTGGAGCTTTTGACTTTGACCCACCTCTCAAAACAGTAGCATAGGCAACCCCCCAGCTACCTTACCCTGACCAGATATAAAGTTGAAAAGATGAGGGTGCCCTTTCAAAGGTTAGGCCGACCAGGAACCGGTAGTAGAACTTGTCAAACTTCTCTGAGCGAGAGCTCTTGTGGGATACCCTGGAAGGAGAATATCCAGCAGGAATGGAGTCGGGATCCGAAGCATCACCCTGCTCCTGTAGTCCCTCTCCTTGTGCACCTTTCTGGGTTGCAGAATGGTCCAAATGCTGGTCCTTGCCACCGGTATTTGAGCCTTCATTCCCAGAAGACTTCCCATCCATGAGTTTGGGCTCAGCAACCTCCACAGATTTCCCAACCATGGGTTGGGGCTCAGCAACCTCCAAAGGTTTCCCAACCATGGGTTGGGGCTGAGGAACCTCCACAGAGTTCTCATCCTCAACCACAGATTTGGGCTCAATTGGAGCCACCCCTTTGGCCTCAATTGGAGCCACCCCCGAAAGCCCTGTGCCTAGGTTTTGGTGAGAAGGCTCATCAGCCTCATCAGGCGCCATCCTTGCACGCTTTGCACGGGCAAGAGATTCTTCAAGCTTTTCATGGTCCCTGCGTTCAACTCTCCAATAGCTGTCGTACTCTTCAGTAGCACTACGGCTGGGAGCCTCCACTGTTGATTGATTCTCACCGTTGGATTCAAACTCTGGAAGGACTGCACTAGCCAAGCGTTTCACAGCATTTCCAGCCACATAGGGTCCATCACCAGAGGCAAAAGTAGGAGCACCTGGTGAGAGCATGTGGATTTAAACTTGATCTTTGGGGGGGTGGTTTAAAATAGCGTGCCTGGTACTGGCTTTGGAGGGTCTTGCTGAGATGTACCCAACTGCTTTTGCAAGGCAGCAATGCGCTCTCGACGTGCCTGGGGCCCAAGTTAAGGGGCCAAACGAAGACATCTAGACTGAAACAGGCCAACCCTCCAACCCTCCCTACAGGCCTCCAGTTGAGCTTGAATTTCTGCAGCTCGACTCCGTGCAGCTGACAAGTCACTGTACTCAACCATATTGCAGCCACCCACTAGCGTTTGGCAGGAAGACAAACGGTCCGTTGACATATGTCCTTGATCCTAAAAGACCTTTGAGTTGGAGGACTAATTTTCCAAAGGTGCATTTTTTTAGTTTGCGCTCGTTTGCGCCTATTTGCGCATATTTGCGCTCGTTTTGCGATATATTTGCGCGCGTTTCATTTTTGAAAAATACAGTAAAAAACATGAAAACATCATGCAACAACTATCCAGCTCTTGTTTTTTTATTCTGGTGCTAGAATGTGCGGTAGGCAAACTACAGCACTTGCATCCCCACTCCAATTGAATTTGAGCAAGGCAAGAACACCTTGCAGTGCCTCACAGCAGTCAAAGCTCATTGCATTCTGCAATGAGCTGGTTAAGGGCTTGGCGATCAGATTCATCGATCCTTACCTTAGGTTCAGCTAATGAGGGAAAACTCAGTTGACATGGAATGTTTCTTCATGCACACAGTCTTGAATTTAATCCAAATACCCTTGCACAAAGCTCTCGGTGAAAGCTTTCCATGGTATCCCTCCACGATTCTGGAATTGCTAAATATTTGTTGCCATGGATGTAAAACCAAGCCAGGTGAAGCTTGGACTCAAGCCAAAGATCTCCTAAATCCAACTCCTCAAAGATTTGCCGGTCGGTTTTTGAAACATCGATTTTCCTCTTGAATCTCAAAGCACAGCCAACTGTCCCACGGCTTTCGTAAGAGTCTAAGATCTTGTGTGCAAAGCCAGGAGGATAGGCCCTCAGATGCATTTCAAACAGTGGCAAAGATTGGTGGATTGTTTTAGGCTTGTGAAGTCTGAGCACTGGACCCAGTGGATTTCAATTGGGAAGTTCCCTGAAACTTCTGTTGACCTTTACGAACGTATTTTCCTTAGGTATCACTGGCCAAAAAAACCCTGGCCACCAAGCTGCAAACAAGGGTGCTCAAAAAAACAGTCTACGGGCCCCTACTGGTTGGTTCAATCTTTGTTTGTGAAATCCTCTGCGCGGCAGACAGCGTTCCCAGGTCCAAGTGCTGGATCCATTCCCCATTCGAGAAGCAAACCGTACGCTTGGAACTCAGACTTCCGTGAAGAAGCATCCAAAAAGCACACCGGAAAACCTGAGAGCATTGAATTGTAGTATACATGACAAGAAGCACATACCTTTTCAACCCCATGTTGTACACGTCAAGGAAAACCACCATAGGCAAGAAACGAAGCTCACATGATTGCAGAAATAGTCCCATCTAGGATGTCTGTGTAGCAAAGTATTTGATGGTTGCTCCAGAATGTAGAAGCAGTTCCGTGCCAAAAGCAACATACACAATAGCGTTGCCCTTGGCTAACTTTGAGAAACACAGAAAAACATATTCGATTCATGCTCATATTACATGCCACTGTATGCAACCCTGGCACAAGGCAACCGTTTGGTTGGCATCAGAGACAAAACCCAGTTCTTGTGCACCATAGGGGTTAATGTAACTGCGTTTCGAAGTGCCCCGTGCTGGCACTCCCCAGCTGGCACAGCAAGGCCCGAGAAGGCAAATGCTTTGCACATGTAGACACAGGATGGTGTGAATGGTCAGCCTGGGCGCACAGGCAAATGGCGAAACCCAATTAACTTGGCAGCAGTTCTTAAACCAATATATACTAGGCAACAGCAGTCCAGGTGGAGCGCTGACCAAGGGCACGGAGTTTGCCAAAGGATGCCACAGAATACCCCCGAGCTTTCCTAAGCAGTTTTCAAACCCGAAAATAATCGAAATAATCTGTGTGCACAAGGAACCTAGTGCAATTCAACAAGCACTGAATGAATCAGCTCAAGCATGCGACGCAGCACGAGATGCTTGGGCTTCTCCACAGAAAAGATCAAAAAAAATGAAACCGAGGATGGATGTCAGGTAAGTTCCTGGACCACATGACTCCAAGCACCACAGCTATGAGTATCTGAACAGGGAAACTGCAAACGTGCCATCTCAGAAACTCTCACTGCATTTGCAAAAAGTCACTCGAACCTTAGGTGCCCCCAAGTGTGCCAGATTCATCACCACGCTTTCCGATTCCATTGCTATCACCGTGATCCGCCTATCCTGAGAAAAAAGCTGCATATATACAAAAGCAAATCAGTACACTATAGTTATTCCAAAACATATGTCAGGTACACCGGTTCAAAGTGTAACCGTATGACACTACTTGCAAACTGCAGATGAAATAAGTAACGCTGCTGCGGGATTGCGGACGGCGTGGGGCACCTGCTCTGATGGCCCAACCCTCCGCAAGAGGCATGTGCACCTGCATCGGGGCAAAGTGAAGGAACAACCTCACCTCTGTGGAGTTTTTTTTGGGGGATGGTGATGATGGTAATGCTGGTCCAGAATGTTAGTGCATGGCAAGTTGTTTGTTTTGGCTTCATCCCTCCGCATGTATATATGTGCGCGTAGTGTTCACGTGCAGAACTAGTGTGTGCACAAATGGCACCTCCAACTACCACACCCCCACTCCAAGCACACCAGCTGCAGCTGTGCAACTTGTGTTCACAGCTTGTTGAATGGAGGATTTTGCAAAACCACTAGGTCTGAAAGCTACCCACTTCACCCCACGTAGGATCAAGCATTCAGATATGCCCCAAGTTGCTTCAGCACACGTCGGCAGTCTCAGCACGTGTCTTTGTAAGCCTTGGTCGCAGGAGGTCATGTGGTCAAAGGGAGTGGTTTCTTAACACAACGATACTGTTTTCCTGACATCAGGTGGTGGTGGTGTTGAACTATATAATGGGTTGTGTTTGCACAGTTTGCACTGATTTGATAATAATGGACTAGTGGCTTGCTTTGCAAGCTCTCGAGCGATCTCTTGTGGCTTCTCTTCTGCAATCGCCCTCGCATAGGCAACATGGTACGCTGAGCTTTTGCGACTGCGTTTGGCCTTTTGGTCTTTCTCCTTGTCACTCAACTCCTTCTTGTTTTTCCTTTTGCCAATGCATCCTTGGCAACCTTTCCCTGAGCTTCCACAGCTTCAACCTCAGCTTCCCTAGCCCTTTTTGGTGCCCTCTTTGGCTTCTCAATCTCATCTTCCTTCATGGCATTCTTTGCCATCGGTGTCTTTTCCTTTCCAGGCTTTCTTGCCTTCTTTGGCTTCACATCCACGTTATCCTTCTCATTCTTTGTCTCATCCACCTCATCTTTCTTTCTGGAGGTTCTTCCCTTCTTTGTTGTCTTCACTTCCCCCTCATTGCTTTTTGCGGTTGTTCTTCCCTTCTTTGTCTTCACTTCGACCTCATTTTCCACCTCTTGTTTTTTTGCAGTTGTTCTTCCCTTCTTTGACTTGACACTCACGTCACCTTTGCTAGCGGTGTCCTCAGCCTCCTCATTGCTCTGCTCACTCACAATCATTCCCTTCCTCCTTGGCTTCTTGGCAGCGCTTTCCTCAACTTCGGGTACCTTTTGTTTCTTGCCTTTAGTGCTGCCTGATGCTTCTTGCTTTTCATCTTCATCCTTTTCCTCCACCTTTGCCTTGTTGGATTTCTTGCCCTTGCCCTTTGCCTTGTTCGTTGGCTCTTCATCTTCCTCTTTCTCCACCTGTGCCTTTTTGGGCTTCTTGCCCTTGCCTCTGGACTTGGCGGTTGCCTTCTTTGCCTTCTTTGCTTTTTCCGGTTCCTCGTCCGCTTCATCCTCTTCATGGTCTTCTTCGTCTTCCTCTGTCCCTTCTTCTTCATCATCTTCTTCATCTTCCTCTTCCTCCGCCTGCGCCTTTTTGGATTTCTTGCCCTTGCCCTTGCCCTTGCCTTTTGACTTGGTTGCTTTCATTTGCTCTTCCGGCGAGATGGGATGGAGGGTCTTGAGAACATTTGGGCCGGTGGCAGTAAATGAAAGTCTTCTCTTCACCTTGTTCCCAGCATCATCCTTTGTACCCCCACTGTGCTCCTCAGGCGATTCGACTTGCCCATAGATGAGGGTGTCAGCATGCAACAAGTCAGCAGTGGAGCGGGAAGGTGCAGGGTCCTGCGGCAAAAATGTTTTTGGTTGAGCCCCAGAACATATGCATGCTATTGTTTGCTATGTGAATCTCCTCCTTGGCCAAAGGCGTGGCGATAGGAGCTGAAGGCTCACAGGGAGTAGCAAGAGCAATTGGTTCATATGGAAGCGTCTCCACATTGTCCATGTAAAGCTGACCTGGTCTTGGCAGTGTTTTGATTGGGACTGGTGTTTGGGCAGTGTTTGACTATACCATATGCAATCATGTTGGGACTGCTGCTTACTGTTTTTTCCACTTCAGGATGAATTTCACAAGTGACCAGGTCATTTGTTAAATTAAATAGATCAAGTTAGGCCAAATGGCTGGGAGCAACAGAAGATCCAGCTGGGATGGTGGAGTTCAAGAGGGACTTCTCTGCTTCACGTTTAGAAGCTTCTTCCTGCAAGTGCCCTAAAGTCAGGTCCATCTCAGCCTGTTCAATCTCTAGCTGTTGCACTGCTAGCATTTCTTCTGCAAGACGTTGTTCGTTGATGAGTGCGTCCAACTCAAATTGAAGGGATGACAACGCATTGTTCTCACCAGCAACAGCCTTTGCACCCTCAAGCTTGTCAGGGGCAAAACTAGGCGCAACTGGATGCTCCAACATCTTCTCTCCAGAAGCCATCTCATCGATGTTCAATCCTCCAGGAAGCAATCCATGCATGATACAGTACACTGTTCTAGGATTTGGGATGTTCTAGGTAGAGGCCTTAAAAAAATCAACCAAATGTTGGTCAGGAATGTCCTCGAGGGGATGGAGTCACAGAATGATTTCCAGAGAGTAGTGGAGCACTGGGTGAAAATGTATTGTCCCCCTCCAATGTCTCCGCTGGCTTTTTGGTGGGGTGCAGTGGAGCATCGGGGTTCACCACTGGATCCTCATCTTCCGGTGTCTCCTCTTCCTCACCTTCGCTCCAGTCATCGTCACCTGAGCAGCCAAAGCACAGGGCCCATCGACTGGACAAATGGCAAATGGTGACCTGCAAATGTCCTTTTTTTGGCAGGCAACAAATTTACAAGAACAAATTGATCCCAGGAACCATCAGTTGGCGTAGGATCGCCATCTTCAGGGACTCCAACTGCCTGAACTGGCAGAAACAAGTTCAGCAATGATTCTAAGACAGGCTCACTCATGCCATGCGCACAGGGTTTCTATGACAAAGTTACTTTCTCAGGTGCCACCCCATCAGGCCTCATGGTCATCATGGTCACCATCCTCTCCATCAGCACCTTCATCTTCATCTAGGTCCGATCGGGATGAACCTCAGACCAACAAAAGAATTGTGCTAATCATTGCCCCTACACCGAAGTCAGGTCCGACACCCAAAGCCAAACATATGACATGCAAATGAAAGCAAAGGAACGAGGGTCTGAAGGCAGTTCAATGCCTGCAGAGACGAAAATTGCCCTCATGCCAGGCTCCCTGGGATAATGTCCACGAGCAGCAGAACGGGTAAAAATGGAAATGAGCCGCTTGATGATCCAGGCTTGCCCTTTTGCAGTGGATCCTGAGATGGAAATGAAGCCACAGGAGAATACCAACTGGTCGGTTATACAATTGGGGCTCCATGTAGCAAAGTACCACCGGTGTATCAAATTTTGCTTAGAAAGCTCAAACAAGGATCGTGACACCGTTTTTTTCCCCCGAGGCCTGGCTCGGTTGAAAAAGTCATCCACCACAGTAGTCAGTGTATCGACCGAAAGCTTAGCCCCCATGTGTTCTAAGATTGGTCCCAGGATGGCCGCATTGGCCACAACATCAGCTCTGGTCAGACACTTGTTGTTAGCAGTCTGGCAGAGCTGACCAAAACCTCCGCGGGACAGCAAGACCTTGTCTTCCATCCATGCTCCCACAACTGCACCCGCCATGACTTCACACTCAGACTGTGACGACACCCACTCAAGCCAAATGCTATCCAAAAAGAAGCGTTTCAAGACATCGACCATCCAAAGCTAAGAACTGCTTGGGACAAGTGGTTGAATGCTCTGACTCCTGCCACCCAGACAGGTGCACCTTGATGTCCCAAGATGTAGTCCCCAATAGCACCTGCAAGGTGCAAGGGCCCTAGCCTATGGGTTCGTGTACATGTTATTCTCACTGGTCAGGGCTGTTCAAGCTGATCTTGGAATAAATCTGGCCAGGTGCACCTCCAGTATCAAGGTTTACCCCACCACCATGCCAAGACGTACCTGCAAAGCCGGCATCTAAGGCATTTAAGATCTTCTTCCTGAAGAAGCTGGCCTTCCTGATCACAAACACACATTTTTTTTGCACATACCACTGTGCTCATGTTTCCCAGGGCGCACTGATCCAAGTATTGTGGCCCCATCACAAAGCCAAAATGGCTGAAAGCAAAAAACGCTCGTGGTGGAAATAAACGCTCGAGTCCACAGGTTTATGCTCGAGGTCTCTTGTTGATCCTTCTAAAGAGGATTTTAGCTCGATTTCTTGAAAAATGATACGAACACATGTAGGGGCAATAATTAATGCGACGAAGGAAGCTCTAGGTATATATCAGAGCATATTGGAGAAACCATGAGATGATTCTAGACTCCTAGGTCCTAGACAGCCAGGACCCCTGCGCCCACGAAGCCGGAGATTGCACCGTTGAAAATCAGCGATGGATTCACCTCAAGTGGTGTGGATACGTGGAGCGGAGACTGCGCAAAGTTGAGGCAAAACGCAAAGAGCCTTTCGAAGGGGCTAGCCTGCTGGGCTAATGCTCAAATGCCCCCAGAAAGCATAAGAGCTTGTAGCGGAAACAGCTGGAAATTGAGTATGGGTGTGTTTGTGGAGTAGCACCAGCTGGTCTCAGCGGAGGGCATTTACCGTTTTTTTAAAAAACAGCTGTTACAATGTTTTTTCTGGATTTCTGAGCAGCATGCCATGGCCAGCAGTCCACTACGTGTGCTCTAATAGGACATGTTCCAGAAGTTCACCGTGAGTGAAATTGGTCTGGCTCCATACAGTAAGCCTCTAGGCCCATCCTGGGCAAGTAGGTCTCGGCTATAGCAGCTATGGGTTGTGTGTTTTCACCCCTTGCCTTCCAAAAGCAGCATTACTATTGTGTCAGAACCCCAGCCAAATACGGGTTACACACTGCTGAAAGATATTCCCTAAAGATCTGATACGGACAGCTGCGATCCTGGTTGATGCAGAAAGCAGCTAGTCGCTAGTGCTGTAACTGTACTAGACTCTTGGTGTATACGGTACATCATTGAGCCCAAATCATCCAGAGTCAGAGTGCGAATTGACACAGCAAGCCACCCAACATGTCGACAAAACAACGGCGTTCGCCGCAAACAGCCACAACAGCTCCATTGTGCGCTGCCTTTTCGTCGGCACAGCTTTGGCACCAGGCCGGCAGTGCGACGCCGCCGAGTCCCAGGGGCACCTCTCTCTGCTGATCTGACGTCAACCCCCCCTTCTGTCTGCTCAGATCATGGAACCCAAGCGTTGCCCGGTCTCCTCAAGCGAGGCAAACTGGCGTTGGAGCTCCATAGAAGTAAGTACAGCAGCAAAAGAACATGCAGCACAAATCCCAAGGACACTTAGGACCCTATAGCCTAGATGAGTTGACTGTGAAAGTTCATCTTGTGATCACCACTTCCGTCTTGAAATGACATGAACAGTCAACTCGAGAGGATATGAGTACCTGATTCAACTTACTGTAACACATTCCGCCAGAGGTTTATCAATGTCAATATACTCATCGGCATGAACTTCATGAACATTGGACAATCTATGTACAATGTACAGTTCTTACCTATTAACGCCATTAATCTCTTAATTGTAGACTAAGTTTTGACTAAGACTAAGTGGGCATGGGCCGCAAGGACCTTGACTCGACCATGCAGGGGCCGCAGGGGCCCTGCCCTGGGGCCCTGGCATCGACATCCAAGAGCCGGACCATCACCTCATCGCCTTAAAGGCCGACGCCGACACCCCTTGGAAACCGCCAAGGTGGAGCACGCCACAAAGAAAGAACATGGAATCGCAGGTGTTGACAACAGACCAAAACACCTCACAGTGGATCATGTGACAAAATATATTCGTTTGTATATATAGATATATAGTATATTATATATATATATATGAAAAATTGGTAACCATTGATAACCCCCCTCAAGTGGTGCTGTCACATATTTGAAGTGGACACTCTAGAGGGGAAGCGCTATCAAACTCAAGCGATGGAGATGGACAAACTGCATCCACTCTTGAGGTGACCAACTCAGGCTCGAACCAACTTCAACAACTTGTGCTGGATCTTCAAGCTCTTCCTTTGACATGCTGGACAGTTGCCTGGCGATGGCATCCAACCTTTTCTGCCGATGACCTGACCGTCTTGCAACCTGAGCTATGTTATGTTTCCATTTCAACGAACAATTGCAAGTTGGACACCACATGCCCAGAATGCACGAAGACCAGTGAGTCATGCGTCGGCGTCAGCTCACTCCTGCAGGAGCTGGCCAGCTGGTCAGCAAGTGTAAAGAAAACAAGCACAAAACCAACGCCAAAAGACTGAACAACAATGAACAACATGAAATCAGTGCAGTGCCGAGGCAAGTGCACCGGCGTGAAAGTACAATAATAAAGTCAAAGGAAAAACATTGGAAAACATTCTCTGTCATTCCAGCATACAATTGTGCTCAGTTGGGGGTCGCCCTGAGCTTCACACAACGAGATGAATGCACCGGAACTTGTGGTATTCTTGACGATCCCCTGAAGCCTCATGAGACTCTGATGTGACCCTGCATGAGACGCAAACCATGTGAATTGATGATTGTCCGGTTCACAAGCTTGCCAGAACTACTGTAGCCCTGTAGCCCATGGCCAAACGTTTTTTCCGCATTCCGGCTCCACACTCTGCAATCTGTGCACACATCAAGAACCCTCCTGAAAATCTTTGTGAGAAGCAAAAAACTTTTGCCTGAAAGACTTCTGTTTCTCTCAAAGGCGCCTTCTGTTTCGTTAGCTCTGGTGTCTGTATTCGGCGGCTCCAAGCACCACACCATTTCTCAGCCGTGGAGGACCCCGTGAACCTCGAGCCAGCCTGAGTCGCGCCACGAAGCGAGTCATTGGGGATACAAAGCCAACAGCATTTGGTTGTCGAAAGTGGTGCAAGTATATATATATATATATATTAATACTGTATAATATGTTCTTGTTTGATCATTTGATCATACAGTATATTATTGTTTAATATATTGCTAATATACAGTATACATTATTGTTTGTCAATCACAGGCATCTCCTATTCACGCGCCACGTTTCACAATTCATCTATAGGCCTTTGTGCAACCCGCTGCTAGTATCCTTTGTTAGTAAGAGTAAGAGTGACTTGCTTTGCCAAGCAATCTGCCAAAGCCTTCGTAGGCCTTTTAAACTTGGTTTTGGTCATTTCAAACGCACGACATGAAGTATGGAGGCAACATTGTGACGTTTTATCAAGGATAACGGATTACATTGGTCATCCATCTGGATTGACAGGTCGATGATAGAAAAAGGAACGTAAGGGCAGGCAATGCAACTCTATCGTCCATCATGCTAAGCTGCAAAGCGCAGAACGTGAATCTTTTTGCGACGTCTGTCGCCAATATCCGGAATGTTTTTGCGGATTCGATCGAAAAGTGTTTGTTTGATGTTTTTCCTTGAAACTATGAACAGCTGAACAAGAACGGCATCACTGGAACAACGGCATCACTGGAACAACCCATTACTGTAAATCACTGGAGGTGTAATTAGGAATCTCCAGCTGAACACAATCGGTCTGCGTGTTCTCACATCCACTGCAGTAGTGATAAAGTACGCACAAGTCACAAGGTACTGCTGCCATCACGTTTGAGAATCATGATGTCAATAATCAGTGTGGCTTTGGTCAATCAATGTACCCGGGATCACTCGTCGACAAAAGGACCCGATCAAGAACCTCCCCGGACCTTAAGCCATGACATGACGTAGATACTGGATGCAGCAGACCATGCTCGAGGCTATTGAAAGACCTGAGTGTGATATCCTCTTTGCTTGGCAATGAGGCGCACACGCAGCACTAAGGAACTAACGAAACTATGAAATAAGCAAAATAATTTACCTCTGACTTTGGTGAAAAGTACCCTGCAGCAAATGCCAAATAACGGTTGGCCACGTTGATTGTGGCAAACTCTGGTCAAGGATCATTTCACTTTCAATTCCAAATTGTGTTTCTACATGTATCTTGGTTGCTGCGGAGCTCTTCACATTAAAGCCAACAGTTGCAACCGAGTGTACAAGCTGCTTGAGGTCAAAGTCTATACTTGGTAGACTTTCAGAGCAAGAGCTTTTGAGAGAAAAAACACCTGCTTGAGAGTCTCATGCTAAGCACTGGTAGGGATCCTCAGGAATCGTATATACAGTACTATACAGTATATAATATGAATGTGTTTTATCAAATTATCAAACATGTTGGCAACCCCTCATCCATCTACCCTCAGGCAATCCGGCACGTTACATCACCTGGCTGCATTAACCACTGTGATTGAATTCATGACTTCCATGAGAGAAGCTAACTGCCTCCCCAGTTCGCGCAAAGTACTAACACCGCGGAACACGTTGTAATTTTGCCAGATATTGTTCCACATGCGCTACCATGTTGTCTTCCAACTAGAGCAACACAACAGGACCCCCGGACACGCTGTTCCAAGCCTTGCAGGGTGTCTTACAAAATGAAGGACATGATAGGAAATTACTGCCAAAAGCAGGGAGGAATCCCCCTGGACCTTGGAGAAAGTTATGTTTTCCACCCGCAATCAAGGCCTTCAATCATCAATCCAGGCTTGACGAGATTTTTGTCCTGGGCGAATCCAACGAGTGCGTTTCGAACCGAGGGAAGAATCTAGAAGCGAACAACCTACTGTACTAGGTAGCAATGGCCTCCAACCTACTAGCCATGGCCTCCAACCTACTAGCGGCTTTTGTGAGGCAAATTAAGTTGCCGGCAGTCAAAGCAACATCTGCAAAGTGAGATGCAAATCAACTGATGTCTCAACGTCGTGCAATCCTTCAGCAACCTGCACTTCTACTTGAACCGGATTCCAAAATGTGTGCGAAGTGCTACTCTACTAACAAGAACCTTGAGGTTGCAGGTTGCAAGCATGTTGTAGCATGTTCCCTTCAAACCAACATTGCCTTCTCTAGATCTTGGCTTGGAGATGATGCTGTAGGATGTACGACCTGCACAACATGAACGATGGTGATGGTGCTCTTTGGTTGCGAGAGCTGATGACCCCTTCCATGCTTTCAACCTATTATGCATGGTGAGTCAACAAACGCACAATTCTCCGAACCCGAGCAAGTGCAACAGAATCACCCAAACTGCGTATTTGTATATATCATATATATATATATACAATCATATACATACGTGTCCATAGAACCTCGATGTACTGCAGCTGCAAATGGTTAGAATGGGAGGAAACATGCCAAGCATGACAAACAGTGACATGAGCGAGCCTGGGCCGTACGGTATGTAATGAACAAGCTGCACCGACTGAAGCGTGAGTATAGTGCACTTTCATATTCCAAATTTGATGAAAGGTATGACACTGTCAGTGATAGACCTTGCATAGGCAAGACAACACCAACATATACAATCATACAGTATTTTATATACTTTTAAACAAGCAAAACCCACATCGCTCCTAGTAACAAGGGCATCGCTACTAGTAGCTAGTAGCAAGAAGCTACTAGTAGCAAAAAGTGGAGTTACTAGTAGCTTCTTGTTCCTAGTAGTAAGGCCAGGAGCCCCTAGTAGCGTCCTTGCTCCTACTAGCGAGCGATGCCAGGAGCCCCTAGTAGCGAACATTGTTCCTACATTCCTACCAATTCCAACCCCAAGGCCCCAAGGCACCTTGCTCTCGACCCAAATCGCGGATACGCTTGACGTACCTTCAGAACACTATTCCTAACGCAAGATGCCAATACCTATGCCAAAGCCTCCAATTTAGTAAATAGGCAGCTTGCATGTGCGTCACCAGGAATGCTCACCTCAAAGACGGATTTGGAATTTAGATCACTTGGAAGACCGGGGGTTTCTTGTACAAACGCACTTAGTTGACGGTACTTGCCCTCATCGAAAATTCAATCAGGAACCATATATCATATAGTCATATTATCCATATAGTCTTTCCATGTCCAACTCTTGTCCTGGTGATCCAACAAGCTCAACCTAGATGTAGTCAGGACAAGCAAACGAACGCTGTCAGTCTCGTCAGATCTCGTCAGTCTGGTGGCTCACTGCATGTTGTACTCGATCCACATCTCTGAAACGTCTGCAAAATCCTAGAAATGTGGAGCCACTAAGTTCAAAATTCCATGCTGAAGTATCAGGTTTGTGTTGTTTCGATTCTTTTTGGACAACTTGGTGTTGATCAAATGTTCGTTTCACGGCACCAAGCTGATACAGTACATCAACTCACGCAGGCTGCCCTCATGGCAAGTAGTCAAGTAGATTGATAATTTATCCACGCGCAGCTCAACATATTATCCAAGCGTATTCATCCTTGATGCAAGCTGCCAAGTCTTGTCTGCAGTCTTCCGTTTTAATCTTTCGGCTGCAAAACCGTCGGCCATATCCTGTGTTATTGGTAGGACAGGAGGCCCACTGGTCGCGAAATGCCGGTGGTGCGGAGACTCGTCACACGTGGCCTGGGGAGACGAACGAAGACGTAAGAACGATCGATCATGTTATGTGAAAAAAACGTGCTTCCAACTGTTTGCTTGTTGTTACTACTAGTAAGGCACCTGTTACTACTAGCGATGCACCTGTTACTAGAAGCTTATTGTTACTAGTAGCTTCTTGTTACCACTAGTAAGGCACTTGTTCCTAGTAGCGTGGCACTTGTTCCTAGTAGCTTATTGTTCCAACTGTTTGTCTAATTTGCTTTGCATGTTCTCTTTTTTGAAAGCCTTTCAATCCGTTCATTCCCAACGAGCGAATGAATAAGTCATCTGAGTTCACGGCGAACAGGACTTCAGAACGGTTCGAGAACAATGGTGGTGATACACCTCGCCTCAGGAATGTTACATAGATGCTGTGATTTTTCATGTTGAGCAGCCACAATCGGTTTGTCCCGACAGCATTGTCTGCAAATGTGGAACGCTTACCATCCATCAACCGGGGGGGTAACATGCTTGTCAAACAAAACCTCTGCATGTCTTACCAAAACTAACTAAAGGGCGTTGCCAAATATGTCATGCAATGGTGAGAAACAACCCTGCACAAACTGATCCAACTCAGTCTCCGCAGAACAGAACGAACTGAACAATTTGATCCGAGGCAGAACAAACCGCACATGCCATGCAAAATGTTTGTCTGAAAAAGCGGCATTGGAATTCCGGTGCCCTCCTTTTTCAAGGCATGAAGCACTTTGTGCACATGATATATATTTTGCGTGTTTTTGTGTAACTTTTGCAGCCAGTAATCAGATTCAGACCTGAAGGCATCTGTAATCCCCACCTGAACCTCATGCTTCAGCCAAGCATCGTTTGAACCTTCAGCCACACAGATCCTTGGACCACTTTGGGCTTTGCCATGAAGCGGGTCCCAGCTCGCATTAAGCCTAAGAAAGCATGGCTGATCTTGTTCACCACAAGCTTAGCTTGGCAGTTCAACTTTCTTTTCTTTTGTTCTTTCATGCTTCCCATGTACTACACATCCACTGGAATATATACGTACTTCTAGTGCCCTAACTAGAATAGTGTCTTCAGCCTGTAAACAAAAATAGATGATGTTGAATCTACTAACTGGTATTGCGTCATGATGGAATGTGCCACTGGGCGAGTGAACAAGTCGTCTTTTCTGCCAAGCTTCCGAAGCACTGCGACCTTGCAAAGTGATTTGGGCTGGGAAAACAGGTATTCCATATATAGAGGGATTCATCGCACATGTGTGGGGTCTGGATTCTAGAGATTGTGGTGGCAGGTTCGTCAGTATTCAATAGCCTCAAAGAATGTTTACATCCAAACACATTGACTAGTTAGACGCGACGGTGGGCATTCCCGGGTGAGCTGGTAAAGTATACTCTGTTCTTCATCTGGTGTATAGGGTCTTGAGCCGCCTAAGTTGCTCAAAGCTCAAACCTAGTTTGTCTACAACGATGCCGCAAACCTGGAGATCAACAATTTGTCCTAGTTTCAATGTGCATCGGAGCTTTTGGGACGTGCATCAATTCGTCATCGTTTCTTCGGCCTTCCGAAGACCTTTTTCTTGCGTCAGCGCCGAAATTCTGTTTTTATTCGTTAAAGTCGTTTTTGATGGAAGTGCTGAGGAAAAAAGCACAGTACCCAACACAGCCCCGAAGACATGCTAAGCACATGTGTCCTAAATGGTCCTGACATTCTTGCTTCATCTTGCTTCCGTCCTACAATTCTTGCATCAGATTCAGCTTTCTCAATTCGCTGACCCTGCCTGCTGTTAGGCTCTGCCCAAAGGGGCACATGACCAGTCATGGCCTCCACACCGACACAAGGTTTGAGTTTGTTTGGACTGGGTGAGGAAATTGGTATGCTGTGAGTAGTGGTGCGTGAAGGTCCGCAAACCTCCATGTTTCTGAGGAGTTCTCAATTAACTTTATTTTTGTTCCAATTCTAATTCTTGTTCCTAATAGCTTCTTGTTCCTAGTAAGGCCAGGAGCCCCTAGTAGCGTCCTTGCTACTAGTTCCCAAATGTGGATCAAGTGAGTCGACACACAAGTCGCACCTCAAACAAACCTTTGAAGAGTGACTTGTCGCGTGTTAGGTCTCTGAGCCACCACCTGCATTGAACTGCTTGATGGCAGGCAGTATTTATGTTGCTCAATGAAGAACATCAGCTGGGCAATGCAGCTTGGCGCATATCGATCTGATTTGACTGGGAAAACATGATCTTGTTGGAATATTGCCAACCGCGCAGGGTATCCTGCCTTTGGACAGGCCTTGGAACAGGGAATGACAATTGAACTGTTCAGGCCTAGACATAATGATTATCCATTTGTCAAAGTATGCTTGTTGGAAAATGTAGGTACTGTCATCGCAGGTTCTTAAAACCTTGTCAGCAAGCCATTCATGTTCGTCCAACGGTTTGTCATCTATATTTCCTTGCAAGTGAGTAAGGAACTGACTCTGAAGTTGGTGGGCGTAACTGAGAAGCAATGGGCAACCTGGCGGCTTGTAAGGACACACATGAATCAATTATGTACATCGAGTATATAGCCGGAACGAAGCTTAATCAAACATCCAGCAGAAGAGTAATGTAGTCCTTGGATTAATAAAGTACCCCAGAATAGTGACACTTTTTTTCCTGCACAGATTAATAAAGGCCCCCAGAATAATGTATTTTTTTTGGGGGGAGGGATAGTTGTAGTGGGATATTTTTTATTGTTATAGTTTACTTTTTCCCTTTTGAGTTTGCTGAGATTTGCTTATCTTACAGGCTTTTGGATGGAGATTTCTATTAAACATTTGGTGATTTCCATTGAGATTTGATGCTTTTGGAGATTTCCAAAACTTCCAAAAAGGTATGTGCTCACTTTCTTTTGAAAATCCCTTATTAAACATTATTGAAAAAACAAAAAAATCATTCCAGCAAAGGGGGTAGTCCAGCAAGCAAGTTTCTGTCATTATTTTGGGGGGGGGCCCTAGAATAATGTCTAGAGATTTTTGGCCTTAAATATTGGTTCCTTTTCTTTGCCTTTTGAGTTGCTTTACTCACCCTCTATTCCTTTTCATTCAAGCAAAGGGGGTAGTCCAGCAAGCAGCTTTCTGACATTATTTAGGGGGGGGCCCCTAGAATAATGTCTAGAGGTTTGAGGCTTTAAATCTTTGTTTCCTGTTCTTTGCCTTTTGATTTGCTTTACTCACCCTCTATTCCTTATTTACTTTTCCTAAGCTCTTTAGCTGTGAAGCTTTCCAAAAGTTTCCAAAAGTCAGTGCGCACTTTCTTTATAAAATCCCTTATTCAAAAGTATTGAAAAACAAAAAAAATCAATCAAGCAAAGGGGGTAGTCCAGCAAGCAAGTTTCTGTCATTATTTTGGGGGGGGCCCTAGAATAATGTCTAGAGATTTGAGGCCTTAAATATTGGTTCCTTTTCTTTGCCTTTTGATTTGCTTTACTCACCCTCTACTCCTTATTTTCCTTTCCTTAGCTCTTTAGTTGTGAAGCTTTCCAAAAGTTTCCAAAAGTCAGTGCGCACTTTCTTTCTAGATGCAGAACTCCATTGAATTTTTATAGATTTCCATTGAGATTTGCTGAATTTGAAGGTCTTTGGATGCAGATTTCCATTGAAATTTTATAGATTTCCATTGGAATTTGATGATTTTAAGTAATGAGTCCTTTTATTTCTATTCATTTTTAGTATTGCCAGAGATAGCTAAGTAATGATTCCATTCATTTTAGTATTGCCAGAGTAGCTTCAGAGGTAGCTAGCTAAGGATTCCTTATTTATTTATCAATTGATTGTTTTCTATCATATTGTTCTGGAGTCTCAATTGTTGATAGGGGGGGGGGGGGACCCCGGGGGGGGGGTTTATTAATCAAGGGACTACATTATGGCATTGCCTGGTATTCGGGTGTGTCCGTTGTCTATGCATCGGTGATCTGAGATCTGTCCCCTTCATGTGGGGGTTGTCCAAAATCCCTTTTCCCAAAACTATCCTTGCGCCGGCCTTGGGCAAATCTTGCGCGAACAGTAAAACTACAGTTTCTGTTCACATGAGTTTTCATTTGCATGTTTTCGTGGGTGTGTATGTGTACGTGCAAACCACTATCACAAACGGAGAGTTTAAAAACAGCACGGCCGAAACAGCTGGCTCAGAGAAGTCGACGTGGCCAGTCCTGTTCTACGCGCATTCAGGCTTGCGCGGAGCTTGCGCGGAGCTCGTGCGGATGTTTGATCCTGTATTGGCCACATGTCGAAGGAGTTACCTTAAGGCGTATATTGTGAAGCATACTCAAAGTCTTAAACCGTCAAGACTTCACAAATTTCACTCCACAAAGCCCAAGCTAGCAGAAATTCAGGTAACTAATAAGTAGCCCTTGCGCAAAACCTTGCGCGATGCAGGTTTTGGACTACCTATATACTATCAATGAGAAAGAATGTGCTACTAAATTCTGTTATGATCGACTCCGTCTATGTTTGGACAACTCCTAGAAATTAACCTCTCCCAGGTGTCACATCCAATAGCTTCGAAAGCAACTTTTGAGGCTCGCGCCTGGGGTTGTCAGGCGCCTGTAAAGCGTGGGTTTGCAAACCACGATCTTCCCGAAGCCAGCTGCGGCTTCTCAGCAGAAAAGAGGCCTTTTTTGGCATACCTAGACCAGAAGCAAACTCCACCATCGTTTCAAGCAAAATGCTGTCATCTGAAGCGGAGATGAAGCATGATAAAACGATACCGATCTGCTTCTTTGCTGAGTTCAGGTTCATGCTTGCCAAGCTGCTTCGAAGCCGTTTGCAGCAGGCACTAGTGTCAGATTTGACTAATGTTTTGATATGTTCTGGCTTGTCTTGGTGCACTTTCAAAGCTGGATGCCTACGAATTCTTAAGGCCTGCGTGTAGTATATTAATGCTGTACGACACAAACATTGAACAAAGAACCAATTAACTATTGATGTAATATATTAATAAGACTCAACAAAGATTGAGACATATTGAGACAAAACTTCCAAATTACAATCTCCAAACACAATGTCTGACTCATGAAAGGGTCCATGTCCTTGACTCAATATGCTACAGAGGGTCAACGTCTCACTGCGGGCAAGCAAATGTTGACTCAAACAAAGTATCTTCAGGTTCCCACATGCACCTCATGGATGCCTCATGCGCACTTGAAGGAACTGATGTGTCCGGGGGCGTTTTTTGAATGGCCAGCGGCCAAAACCAGAGTTGAACACCCAGCTGGCAAACGCAAACTGCAATGTGACAATGTTGGACACTAGCTTGTGACATGCATCGCCTTCGTTGACTGTTTTGGGACATGTTCATCCACACCTTCAGCTGTGTAACGTTTGAGAAGCCAACGCGCCTGCCGCATGGTAAGGTGGAGGCCACGAGCATCAACCCGCCTGCAAACCACAAAGTTAGAATTGCAAGGAACATAGTTAGAACAGTTAGTGACACAGTTAGTGACACATAGCTAGGGCTAGAACTCATTTGACTCGGACCTCCTCTATCTCTCAAAATATTGCATGTTTTTTGACAATAATCGCCTTGGTCCTGAGCAGGCTCTGAACGCTAAGGCACGTGCAGCACGCGCACTTGAATCTGCTGGCCAACCTGTACGAGAGGGCGAGAGTCGCAGCTGTTGGCTTCGCACTCAATCTGTGGCAAACAACCCAACAGTTTTTCACCTTGTTCATTGGCAGTTTCCAATTGGACACAAATGAGAGTGAGAGTGAACTATTGCAACTGCTGCCAGTTCACTTCCAAACAGTTGCAGTTGAGATACCGCCCGGAACCGTCCAGCACCACTACCATAAAGGCTCTACATGGCTGTACCATCTCACAATGGCGTACTCCCCATCCAAGGCACCTGAAGCTGCTCGTCACGAATCATCTGCGACTCGTGCACCTGAGCCACTTCCATCGCGACAACTCTGCAGTGTAAGCGAACGATGTTATTTTCCCTTTCAGGGCATGAAAGCAACCAAGTTTGTCCATTGCCAAAGAACTTTGTGCACCCAAATTGTTTTTTTGGAAGGGCTGCGGGATACTCCTGCAAGTTTTCCTATGTTCTTTGGATGTTGGCTTCTTTTCAATGGACACTGTTGCTACTATAGTGACTATAGTGTAGGTTCCTCCGACTAGATGCACACAGGTTCCTGCGACCAACCCCCCATTTCCAGCAAGCAATACACTGCAAAAGGGCGAATCCAGGCGCTTCAAACGTCCGAAGCATTTCACCATTCCACCTTCGAACATTCTTCGACTGCATCTTCCCCCAAATCTTCTCCAGGCGGCAAAGCCACACACTCGGCGTTGACCATGATCGGAGCCTGCCGGCGCAACCGGCCCAGTGGAGTTGATCGAGAATTTTCAAGAATGTCAACCAGCATGTCATTGCTTTGGCGTCAACTTCTGCCAATTGTAGCCGCCAGTCGTTCTCCGTGACACGAAGGAGGCTAAACGGCAAACAAAGTTATTTTACCTGCTATCTACATACCCAGCTGTGCCCACTTGACCTGCAAGTTGTGACTGATGCCACAGGTATGTGTTCGATTCCAAAGTACTTTTTTGCGTGCTGGGGCATCATCTATGATAAGGACAATGACGTTTGAAAGGATCCCGGATCCTCCTTCATGATCCTTAATCTGCTTGGTAAGTGGTGCAGGAACTGACGGAGATGCCGGGCGCTCCTGCCTGGCTCACCCGTCGATGGCGGCGTTGCCAGTTCCACCAAAAGCCTGCTCTGGCTGATTCGCACCAACGTCCCAGCGAGCCACTCCTGCATCTAGGAGCGACGCTATTAGGGGCGCTCCTGTCTACTAGGAGCAAGACGCTACTAGGAACAAAGGGCATCGCTACGAACGGAGCAAGGACATGATTTGGTGTCCAAGCCCAAGTCGTTTCACAGATCAGATCAAGCACTGCCTCTTCTTATCTAACGCTGGAGCGGTGTGTTTGAGTATCTTCTTGAGAGCACTGTTGGAGTCCTCTATTTACAGATTCAGGATGATTAGCAACAGAATGGAATAAAGTATGCATGCAATCATTCAGTCAATGCTCCTCTCCTCTGGTGCGATGTCGAGAAAGGCTGAGACATCTTGCTTCAGCAGACCTTTCTGCCGCTTTGTTTATGGGAGATGGACAGTTTCCACTTTGCAAGAGCAGGGTGTCAAGGGCTCACTATGCAGCTCTATGAGAAAGTACCCAATCGAATCTAGACCGCCCACCATCTTAGATAATCTTGGAGCGGCCTTTCCGAACCTTCACCTTCCCCATCTTGCCCCCTGAAAAACGGGTGGTGATGGTCAACAAATGTCAACAGAAACAAGCAAAGTCTTAGTAGACATCCTGGTGTCAACCAAAAACATCAAAAAAACACATCAAACTAGGTCCCAGTTGGCCCGATGGGTCATCAGTCGGCCTCTCATGCCCGCCTTGACGTTTCCGGGCACGCCAAGAGCTCATCGTCAAGGACCTTCAGTGCTGTGGTGCCGTTCTAGTAGCTTCTTGTTACTAGCAGCTACTTGCTCCTAGTAGTACGGCCAGGAGCCCCCAGCAGCGTCCTTGCTCCTAGTAGCGATGCCAGGAGCCCCTAGTAGCTTCTTGTTCCTAGTTTAAAGCGAATAACCATCGAACACGGAATCGGGCTCCTATGGGCTCCTAGTAACGTCCTTGCTCCGTTCGTAACGATGCCAGGAGCCCCATTCGTAGCTTCTTGTACAAGCTGCAGAGTCGCACTACGTTGATGAATTCTTTGGACATTCTGAAGACTGGCCCAGAAGGTCGCAGTAGGCCACCAGGTCGCTGTTCCGAGCAGTAGCAATAACAATTGGTGGCACATCGGGCAATCTTCGATCTGGGCCATCTGCAATTCGCCATTCTGCTTGATCTCTGCCACCCAAGCAAACACCTTCAAACACGGGATTCACAAATCCAAGAAGCTCAAATCAGATCGATGCAGCTGGTCAAAGACACAAATCCCCACTGGCCTTCTGCCCGGGCATGAACTCCTCAAGGAAACTGGATGAATCTGGCATAAGTGATTAGTCCACAAGCTTGAATCAACTCCTGTGCATGGCTCATGGCGTCCTAAGTTGCCCGTTTTGTAGGCACCCAACCAGCTTCACCCACCGAACCCTTCAAAAAAGGTGCTAGCCTTCTCCAGCCTTAAGATGATGCAACGGCTGGTTTACGTTGTCACATGGTGTCACTTCCTCTTTAAGTGTTGCAGCTTACATAGGATATGAATACTCTGAATATTCTTCCGTGTCTGATCACCTGCACCATTCAAACCAATCAGCCATTGGTTCTCCTCGTAGACATCAGCAACATAGTTGTCTGAGATAAGACTGATAGGAACCTCCCAGCAGGCAGTCTCTGTGAATGACTCTTCCATTCCACCTCAAAGTACCATCTTCGAACAGCCTACACTCTGCTTGGCCCAGCTCAACACAAGCTCTCTGCCAGGTTCGACTGGACCAGTTCTCCAAGTCCCCAGCCAGGCCGTCACGCTGTGCACCCACGTCCAAGAAGATGCCAAAGGGTCCAATCTCTCGGACAATTCCGGTCAACCCTTGACCCACCTGAGAGGCGATCCAACTTGCTTGGCACTCAAGCAGCGATGCTTTTTTGGGGATTGAATTGAACATGCCAAAAAGAACACACATGAAACAACTCTGCCTGGCCTGAAGAGATCTCACTGGAACCTTAGAAATGAAAGCTATGCACAATGCTGGTGTTCCCCCGCTGTCAGATTTCCATCGGATTCTGCAGATTTCTCTGGATTCGCCTGGCAGCGAAAGAATCGAGCGGCGCTCGAGGCTGGCACTCGCTCACTTCTGTTGACGATGATGGCTCGTTCCTGTATCAAACCTGAAGTGTGTCAGCTGATTCCGCACAACTATCTGAGAGTTGGAACAACTATCAAGTGTGGGACTTCTTCTTTAGATGCGTCGCCATCCAACTCCCACATGCCACTGGAAATGTTGAGAGTTCCAAGTTGTCAAGGCATCATCAAATCCATTCGATGTCAGGACTCAGCTAGTTCTACGGCGGACAAGTGGCCTCAAAAAATAACATAAGTATAGTATACTGTATACTATAAGCACGCTTGCTTTGGAGCTTACGATTTGGTGAGTCTTTTGATTCTACATGAGGACATCACGTGATTTGCTGAGGACTCCCACGTGCGATCTGCCGATCAATCTCATCCAGGTCAGAGGCTCGTCGCAGGCTGCGAGTGCGGCAAATCGTTTTCCCTAAGATCTGCTGCTTCTCCTAAGGCGGCCTCCAACCTAATAACGATGGCCTCCCACCTCATAGCGATGGCCTCCACCCTAATAGCTGCAGCTCCTGTTCTTTATTGTTGTGTTCGTTTGACTTCCAGTTCTGTTCTTCAATTTGTTACCCACAACCGCAAATGACAGCAATGATGGTACTTGACGCCAAGTGTGGAACACAATTGACCCTTTCACTATGTTGAAAGATTTCTACACAGACTCTTACGATCTCTTCTCCCTACTTCTTGCCTTCTAGCAATTCGACCAGCAGCAAACGCAAGGGCTGTGAAGGACCTGGCAAAGCCGCGCTCTGAAGCTGCAGTTGAGAAGCACATTCTGGAATCGGAATCATGCTGCTTCGCGCTGCTTTGGTTGGTACCTACTTTCGCCTGTGGTGCTGTGCTTTCTGGCCCCCAGAAATGAAGATTCGCAGGGAACGCATGGGACTGCGTGCGGAGGAAACAGTTTTGCAAAGAAAAAGGTTTGCAGGAGAATGCTGCCCAACACTGCATCATCCTTGATCTTATTTTGGCAGAACGGAATCATAACTATAACAAGTTTCGCTGCGTATGTATATATAATATGCACTATATAAATGTGCCTGCCAAAAGAACATGGCTCGACACCCTGTTTACATGGACCCCGACGACGTAGAGCTCCAAAGCTTTCTTTGGGCAGGAAGCGCTCCTGGGAGTGAACGGCGGGTTCGGCAGGTCCTGGGGTCCTTAGATCTTAGTGTCTAATAAGAAGCTACTAGTAACAAGGGCATCGCTACTAGTAGCTTCTTGTTACTCCTTGCTACTAGTAGCGATGCACTTGTTACTAGTAGCTTCTTGCTTCTATGCTGCACGGACACCAAGCTGACAATACCCAGCACTGATCAGCACTTGTTGCAGGTCTCTTGAACCTGGAAAAGCTCGTGTCGTTGGAAAAGGAGTGTCCTGAACATATGCGTGGACTGCCGTCAGTTGGAAGAGGTACGGACCTCTCAGGGATGGTCCCCAAGAACATGATCTAGAATTTCTAGAATGATGCGAAATTTTTGCAATCTGATCTAGAACAAACTTCGCCAAAATTGCCAGATTTGTGCCAATGCTTCCTTCCTGCCGATGAAATCCACGGTCCGTGGAATGTTCACAAAACCAGCTGAAAGCCAAGGCGGTCACGGCTCAATCCTGCCTCACACTGCCGGCCCAGATCATCCGCCCAGCCTGATCTGAAGTCAAAGAAGAATAAGTTGTCGCCCTGCTTGCTGGGTCTCAACTCAATCTCAATCGAGGCCCTACAGTCAGGACCTGCTGTACAGTACACGACGTGTCGGAACAAAAAGCCAATCAGCGTGCACGAAAAGCGTTTCTGGAAACAATATCATATTGCTCTACGCCATTGTGATCAGCTGATATGATTCAATGATTGTGAACGCATGTCATCACGGATTGCTGCAGTCATGCTTCCTTTCAGATTCAAGCATTTTATTACATGGCCGCTTACAGCCCTTCCAAGGTCTTACCGCTTAGAGACACTGCCAAGCCCTATCCCTGATCTTGTTTTGTCAACGGATACTTGCAACAGGAAGCTTAACAATCGTATTCGTATTCCTTATTGTTCTTTCAATATTCCGCAAAGCCAGCTAGTCCGGTTAGCCTAGCAGCGTTGACGGGCAACTCCTACTTCACAGCAAAGGGAGCTGCTTCCATGGCTCAGCTTCCTAACACTGACATAACTTAACAAGACATAACTTAACAACGATTTCCATTAAAATCAGTGACACCGGTGACACCTACATAAGTCAACTAGGGCCTTAGGGTCAGCTGAAGTTCCCTGGAATGATTGACAGATCTAAGGACCCCAGTTTCCAGATTGGAGACGCCACCCTGATGGTTATGGCTGAGTGCTTCAATGGATTGCCAATTGGCATGTTGTCGTCCATTCGTAGTCCATTAGTAGCGGGACCCCGTATGCATTGAAGCACGTTCCTGTGATGTGACCAATTTTGACAAGTGTAAAAGCATTTTCCCCCCGTGCGCTCAATACTTTTGAGATCTTTTGAGTAATTGAAGCAATGTCCATGGTGGTGTGCTGAAGAACAGGTTCGGAATGATGGCTGTTTTGTGCCGCTCACGACTGTCACGTTACCTAACTACAAACTACAGCAACTGATACATACAATTTGGGTCAATTTGGTATATAATCTAGACTTGCGAACAATGCCAAAAACATCAAACAGCATTTCTGTATTTTCGAGCCACGTCTGTGTGAAGTGGATGCTCAATAAAACCTTGTGACACTGCGTGTGGTGCTTCTCCAAGAACCTACCTTTGAAATCTTGCAAGCATGCTTTCTGCTGTTCACAATTACCAGCAAACACTCATTTAGCACTTCCTTTTTGCGCGGAGGAGATTTGCTGCTGAAGCTGGCCTCAAAATGATGAGTGGGTTGACTGACAGCCGTGGGTGGTGGTGGTGAGAGGAACAAGGATGCTTTGGCCTTTGGCTCTGTTCGCAGTTGTTTTGAAAAAAAAGGAACAACATGAATTGAGTCCAATGCCAACCTGTGAGCCAATCCAACTGGAAAAGAAGAACGGCCGGGCAAGCCGCGATCCAAATCGATCCAAACCCAAACCTGCTTGTAAAAACACTTACAGTACTGCACTGTCATGCAAGGTGCAAGTTTACAGGTGCCAACATGAAAGACCAAGCCAAGGATGGCAAGGATGGGCTACGTGGACATTGTGACCTCCGTGGATCAAAACAGCTTCATGTGATAGTTGGACCTCAGCCTGGTCACGCAACAACTGAATCAAAGTAAATCCTATGTAAATGTAAGCCATTGCTGATCTACAATATATTTGACCTGGTCTGGTCAGCTCACATCTGTTGCCCATCCCCTTGGGGGCCCTAAAATCTGGGATCTTAATCGATATCCCTCAGCTCATGTCCATGCCTCGTTTCAGTCGACCTTGCCTCGAAAACTCGAAAATTGCACCCTGATCGTCTCAAGCGGCCTCCTGCAGCTTGGATACCACCAAAAAGAAACAAAACGAGCGAAACACATTCTCAATACTATATATAGGATACTATAGGTATAGTAACAAGCCCACTCACTATATTATATAGAATAATGGTCTTCCATCACGTCCATTTTCCACCTCCATGAAAAGGTGTGAACAGGTGTCTGAGTCCTTCTCTGTCTTCTCTGCTGGTTCCTGCGACTTGGCCTCAGCCTGAAGCTGGAGCAAAGCATCTAAGGATGACTGGTTGGGCCTGATAATCTAAACCATCCCGACAATCCACATTCCAGCCATAGGATGACAACACAGATCGCAAAGTTTGTTCCGTGGAACAGTATTAAGAGATCTCTTCAAAGAATTTCAGCCATCCTCTATGAGTTCCACCAGCTGTCGGATGCGAGCGCTCAGCGCTATTGAAGGGAGTGGACTCTTTTGGAATCCACCGGCAGCCATTTTGGAATTCGCCGCTGAAGCATGCTGAAGCGGCAATTTGATGCGCTTTACAACTTTGACGCTAGGATAAGCTTGAACAAACACAGTAAAAAATGATAATGATCTGATATATGGTCAGTGTACACACGAAGGAATGCCACAGACCTGATGAAGTTTCCACTTCAGGCACACTGATCCATCCTGGACCTGCCTGCTTCTTGGACACGCGGAGCCCCTTCTCTGTAATCTGCCGAGGTGTCACAAATGGTAGAATCGGAAGAACCCAAAAACAGAATTCGATTCAAGGTGTGGCAAGTCTGTTGTCGTTTTTGGACCTCAATCGGTTCCCTCATAGCACATATTCTCTGGTCATTTGATTGAAGAGGCGATCGATTTTTGATGGCTGATGGACTCATGTCCTTTCATACCCTCGGATTCGACGGTCAAGGAATCCAAAGACTTGCACAGTAAATCACTAATTACAAGGTTATATACATTATACACATATCATTACATATCATATCAGTTGTCTGATCTAACCTATATAATGCAATTTCAATGTCCTACAGAGTTGAACTAAAGACCTGAAGACACCTCCCCTTCAAAGCTAACACAAACTCACCTGCAAACGACTGCTGTACTCCCTTCTTTAGTGGACGTAGATTCAATGCTCGTAGCGTCGACAATCTGTTGAAACACCCTTCAGGGGCTCCTGGCCTTACTACTAGGAACAAGAAGCTACTAGGGGCTCCTGGCATCGCTACTAGGAGCAAGGACGCTACTCCCACTTCTCTTTGCCGGGAGTTGGCCACACCGAATCAGACGATGTGTCAGCCCCGCTCCGTGTGATTCGGAGCATTTCGGAGCGCCTCCAAGAGGACCACATTAATCTCTTGACCTTCCTGCGGTTGACAGCGAAGGCATCCAGAGATGTGGCTAAACCCTTTTGATCGCTTCGATTCTTTCAATCGGCTTTTCTGAAAACTGTAGATCTGCTCTGCCAATCTTTGCGACATCTTTTTAGTAGAACATGCGAAACAAAAATCATGTGGCTATCAATGAATGGAATGTGCACTTCTGGCAGCTGAACCATCTGAAAGACAAAGCAGCTCTTTTTGCGCCATCGGAATTCACTGCCGGACCTTCGGCCATGCGAGGACACAAAAGAGGAGACCTGTTTTTGCGTAGCGAAAGAATCGCCATGCCCTTCCAAGCTGCTATTTCAATTAAAAGCCGTGCTACAATAATCAATAGGTAAATTGAACTTGCAATTTCAACCTCCCATGAAAGTATTGTATTAGCTTTTGCATCTGAGTTAGCAGACTTGAATCACTTGAAAGCTCAAGCTACAGCCGCCCGTGGCTTATGACAGGGTCTAATTCTTCAAGGTGTGCAAACTCCACTGGCTGCACCCTCAGACTTCGTGTGCAGGATGAGGCTGGTGTTCTCACGCCTTCAAAACAAGTTGACATCGCAAGTGTCAAGTGCGTCATCAATATGAATGATTCAGTAGCCAAGCGTCCGCAACCTTTCAAAATATGAGACGGTAAGATTCACCTGCTGGCCAGGAAGATCGACTTTTCCACAAGCCTGGACATGTTTTACTTTTTCCAAGCCCGAGTGGCTCGGCCCGACAAGCTCCTACTTAATTCAATAAGGGTGACTAGTTAGCTTCTAGCTAGGACGCAGGATAGCTCACGCACGCACTAATCTTTGCGGATCTAAGAGAAGGATGGCGTTCTCTGCCAGGGATCGAATCCAAAACACTCAAGCTCAACGGCCTGCGTACACCTCCAACGTCTCCGAAGCTATATAGCTCATTCCACAAGTCATGTAGCATCTACATGGAAACAAACTGCTGCTGGTGGAGGTCTCTTGGAAGGTATTGGTGGATTGGACACGAGAGAGAGGGAGAGAAAGAGAGAGAGAGACTAATAGCGATGGCCTCCATCCTAATAGCAATGGCCTCCAACCAAATAATGATGGCTTCCAACCTAACAGCGATGGCCTAATGGAAAAGAAAGTTCCTGATATTACCTGGTATTAGCCCTGTTACAAGAACTCACGGGCTCGGCATCTTTTTCAGGGCTCCGCACATACGCTGGAAAAGCTGTTGATGGACAGGCGGCTCCGCCTAAGTACATCTTCCTATCACGGGCTTTCTTTGGTAGCTAATTATTGTAACTCTATTAATCTTTGTAAGGTTGTCCGTGTGGGTTCTGCTTGACAGCTCCAGAAGGCCGTGATGAACAAACATGTGGCAAGTATCCGTGCTTTGCAACTGTGCTAAGTCAAGTCTCCTGTTGCATTGTATCTCCTTTCTTCACCAAAACATTGCGAAGAAGCGAACGGCGGTCTTCGCATGTTTGTCTGTGGCCGGGCAAATTGATGGGGAGTTTCATGAAACATGACGGTTGACTTTTGGGTTGGTGACCCGTTGGATCAACCGGCCAAAAACCGGAATCACCTGTGAATGAACACACGTGTCACCCTTCAAAGCGTCAAAACAAAGAAGCTGCGGCGTCCTTTGTTCCATGACTTGAGCCATGCGGGTCGACCACACGGCAAGCAGTGAAAAGCACGACGATGGTTCGATAGGCCAACAGGTTGCTATGCAGATCTAGGTGGATTACCTTCGTCATTTTCACACCCACTATCTTTATTGGCCTTCGAACCGGTCGCACGAAGATCTAGCAAGCTTCCCTTCATCAACAGCTGGAGCCCTTCATGCCGCATACCCTTGGTGAGCGGGTCGGCAAG